TAAGAAGAAGAAGAAGAAGAAGAAGAAGAAGAAGAAGAAGAAGAAGAAGAAGAAGAAGAAGAAGAAGAAGAAGAAGAAGAAGAAGAAGAAAGAAGAAGAAGAAGAAGAAGAAGAAGAAGAAGAAGAAGAAGAAGAAGAAGAAGAAGAAGAAGAAAAAGAAGACGAAGAAGGAAGAAAGAAGAAGGGGAAGAAAAATAAGAAGAAAGAAAAATAAGAAAAAAGAAGAAGAAAAGAATAATAATAATAATATAAAGAAAAAGAAGAAGAAGAAGAGGCAGAAGAAGAAGAAAAAGAAGAAGAAGAAGAAGAAGAAGAAGAAGAAGAAGAAGAAGAAAAGAATAATAATAATAATAAGAAAAAAAAAAGAAGAAGAAGAAGAAGAAGAAGAAGAAGAAGAAGAAGAAGAAGAAGAAGAAGAAAAGAATAATAATAAGAAGAAAAGGAAGAAGAAGAAGCAGAAGAAGAAGAAGAAGAAGAAGAAGAAGAAGAAGAAGAAGAAGAAGAAGAAGAAGAAGAAGAAGAAGAAGAAGAAGAAGAAGAAGAAGAAGAAGAAGAAAAGAATACAAATAAGAAGAAGAAAAAGAAGAAGAAGAGGCCCACGTAGATATAAATTCATCGGTAAATGAAGATTGAGTACGGTGTTGCATGCATGTCAGTCCAGAATGTGTCTCAGTAGAGTAGGATGTTTCAAAACGGCGAGACTTCTGTACACTTGACCCTGTAGTCAACAGTCTGCCGCCACAGCAGCCACCCCGCTTCTGAAATTTCCTCCGAACAAAATAACTCACCATTCATTCCTACATGTTTAACACACTTGTCAACGCTACATTTATGTTACTGCATAAACCCTGAAGTGACATGTTTGGTGCAGTTAGCGCAACCGCACTGAAGCAAACATCCTGCTTATCACACCATTAGACGTCAACCTGAATGTTTTGGCAATAAACAGCGGTCAACCTGCATGTTTTGACAGTAAACAGTAGTCAACCTGCAGGTTTTGACAGAAAACAGCGGTCAACTTGAGGTTGTTGACATCCCTAGTTTATCCTGGGATGGGTCCAGTGCCGTTAACTGTTTCGGTCCCATGTATTGTATTTTTTAAAAACTCATTATATCCTAAAAGGTTGATATTTATCTAATACAAGCTTGTGTGTTAGTGAACTAAAACAGTTATACTAAACGACTATAGAATTTACAGTACTGAAATAAATCCTTACAAACATATTACAAGGAAAAATATGCTAGCTGTATCTTACTCAACACTAGCCTGTCCTAAAATAGTCAGGTGGAAAGGATTAATAGACTCTCCTAAACTATCCAGGTAAACAGGACTAACAGACGGTCCTAAACTGTCCAGGTGGACAGGACTAACAGACTGTCCTAAACTGTCCAGGTGGACAGGACTAGCAGACTGTCCTAAACTATCCAGGTGGACAAGACTAGCAGACGGTCCTAAACTATCCAGGTGGACAGTACTTGTGGCCTGTCCTAAACTATCCAGGTAGACAGTACTTGGGGAGCGAGGCAGAGGGAGACAGTCTGAAACCATGGCATGGAAGATCATATGTGTCTGAAGCGATTGACAGTACATGAGACAGAAGGTTGTGGATAGACATGACTACCAAAGCCTCACAACATAGACTATAAGGAGAAGATGGCACCTGATGATGACAGTCCTAAGGAGACATAAGAATTCCTATGCACACTGATAAGGCACTTAATGATGATAACGCTGTGGAGAATTATGATTTCCTACACTAGCTGGCATCAGGCCTATGGCTGAGGCATTGCCATGTGTGGGTTCTGGGACCCAATTGTTGAGAAAACAAGAATAGACCCACTGCCTGCCCAAACGCATGTCGTAAAAGTCGACTAATTGGGAGCTTCCTTAGAAGTCGGAGTTCATCTGCCTGAGAGGCAAGGAATCAACAGTCTGTATGCAAATAAGTCAGACCTGTGAAACAAATGTGCATGCAACACTCAGTTTCTGGAACAGAACTAGAGTCTAAAAGTGGACAAACAGCCAGAACTTTCCGCTGGAGAGTACAGCCAGAGAACACAAAGAAGAAGAAGAAAATACCTGGTGTGAATCCAGCAAGAGACAATTAGGTAGCAGATCACTCTTTGTGTTGATTCCAACAATGGTATGGAGCGTCACCCAAATAGCAAGCAATAGCAAACTACTGAACTTAAAACTGCCTAGTAAAATTATAAGACAGCCACACACACACACAAATGCTGTGGTTGGTTCTGCGACGTCCTGTAAAAAGATATGAAACTAACCTTTTTGTTAATACAAGTTGGCTAGGCACTTAGCAGTAATGTCTGTTCTTTCATTGTCCTATTGTGCACTTATATGTCACACTGGGCTTGCGGTATTTTTCTCAATTCCATTCAATCACTTAGATATCATGGATGTAATCCTCTCCAGCATCTCTAGCTTCTCTCATCAATGTTTGCCTTAGGATTTCACTAGGATATCCTTGTTACCTCAATCCTTTTATTTCCTATTTCAGTGCCTGTCTGGTGCTCCTCTGTTCATCTCAGATGCTTAATATATGGCCCAAAAGGGTTTAGCTGAGAACAAACTTCACAGCAATTGGTTCACTCCCATTAAGTGCTTCATCCCTTAGAGTGATCCCCCTTGTTCTGATGGTTTCAGTAGCAATTTGACTATATGACCTTCTGACCTTTCCTCTAAGCCAGTAGTTCTCAACCTTTATAATGCTGTGACCCTTTAATACAGTTCCTGATGTTTTGATGACCCCCAATCATGAAATTTTAGTTGCTACTTCATAACTTCATTAAATATGTGTTTTATGATGGTCTTAGGTGACCCCTGTGAAATGATTGTTCGACCCCCATTTGGGTCGCAACCCACAGGTTGAGAACCTCTGCTCTAAGTGTTGAATGTTGACCCGATCCTCTGGTTACTCACTGCTGTGCCACCTTCCCCCCCCCCCCACCCCTAGACTGTGATGATTTGTTCTTTTATATTGGTCATTTACTCCCAAAGGGCCTTTGCGACTTCAAGGTTGTCATTTATAAATTCACCATCAATTAGTGCAGAATCATTTAGCTGTGTGCATTTTTGTTTCCCAACACACCTGCATATCCCTGAAAAAAGATCCAAAAGATCCTGACTTCCAAGACCTTGGAAGCGATGCTTGCCATTCTGCATGCAGCATGCCTGTCTCCACCTTTCTCTGCATGTTCTGTGAGTGTGCAGCTGGTTCTTAAGCACAAGAAAAGCTGCAGTGACTGCCTCAACCTCCATTCTCAAACTAGATGTTGTGGTACAAGCTAAGCTGTGCTGCACTGAGTATCACAAAGTTGCTTTTGCTAAACTGTGATTCTCTTTTGCCCTAACACATATCACTTTATACAGATAATCCTCTGGGCGGGCAGCAATTATCATGAATAAGCTGTCAAATTGATAATTCTGCACTGCCCCCTGGTCAATCTCTGCATTCAAGGCCCTACACAGCTCTGATTTTTGCTTGATTTGATTTGATTCAAGAACCGACATCACAGCACTCGGGGCATTCCCATAAGCGCTCCGTTCCCCATCTTCAGCAGCCAGCGAAGAGTTCCGATACTAATGGTGCCGGTAGCTTTCTGATTAAATGTCCATCATGCCTTTCCTCTGAGCCTAGAGCTTCTGCCAGAACCTCTCGTCATCCCCAACTGCAACAATCTCACCAAACTGTGGTGATTCATCTGCTCCTCCGCATTGTACACACTCTCCCACAAGGCACTAACCACGTCTGCCCTATCATGTAGCAGTATTCCGCCAAGTTGTGCAGAGACAGCTAGTCTGTCCGCCTGTTCATTTCCCAACACACCGGCGTCACCCGGTGAAAAAATCCAGACAATACTCCTCACTCGTGTCCTCCGCAGCGATGCATGATTTTTGCTCACTTTCACCAACTTCTCTTCTTGCCTATTTTTGTTTTTTTTTAACGTTTCTAATTGTGTCTTCTGCTTGCATCATCTAAGATTGTCCTCTTATCAGTCTGTAACCCCTAGCTGTATTCACAGCTTCATGCAGGATGTGTTTTCTCTACGTATACTGTACATCCAACAATCATTTGCATGGCTTCATTCTGTATGTGCGCAAGCTGACTCACTGACATAGTGAGCAATCCCAGTCCATAATCCATCACTGCAATGATCAAACGCTGGCACATTGAACAGCATTTTTCACTCCTGTCCTCTGCTGCCATAAGGGAAAGGCCAAAAGGGAAGACTTATGATTTAACAATTTCTTATAAATATTGCAATAATAATGAAACATGCACAAGCACCATTAGTGGACAGAAACAGAATAACACAGTGATAGAATAATCCAGTGATAGAAGCAGTAGACACTAGTGATAAAAAGAATAACTTAGTTCCATCAAGTGATAAACACAATAACACAGTTCAATCTAGTGATAAAACACAATAATATAGCTCAGTATGGCGATAAATACAATAACAGAGTTCAATCTAGTGATAAACACAATTACACAGTACAATTTAATCCTAAACAGAATAACAGATCAATGTAGTGAAAACACAATCTTGTGATAAATACAATTCAGTCTAGTGGTAAACTCACTAAAATATCTCAATTAAGTGACAAACACAATAACGAAGTTAAATATAGTTAGAACTCTTTAACACCGTTCAATCTACTTATAAACAGAATAACACAGTTGAATCTGGTGATAAACACAATAGCACAGTTCTACCTGATGATAAATACAACATAGTTCAGTATAGCAATAAACAAAATAACACAGTTCAATATAGTGACAAACACAATAGCACCGCTTATTCTGGTGATAAACAGAACACCACAGTTACAAATCAAGTGATAAACATAAAAGCATAGTTTAGTCTGTATAAATAACAGCAGATTCACAACCAAAGTGTAGGATTCCCATAGATCTCTGGGCATGGTGGTTGAATGCGCACAGGAAAAGAGAAACCATGTGACAGGAAGTTACTGACCGCTAGTAATCTTCAGGGACATCAACCTCCACACTGTTGTACTCAGCCTTTGCCAGGTCCAGTAGGTGGTCCAGAGCATCACCACTGGTCAGGTTGTTGCTGATGCTACTTGTAGTGGACACTTCGCTGAGGGACCGCCGCCTGAGGATATCCAAACCAGCAGATCATAGCTATTAACGAAAGCTCAGAAATGGGTGAATTAAATATACAGTATAGTATTCACAAAGGTCATCACAACTGAACAAACTGATGAAGATATCAGATATAATATGAAGTTTGTTTAGGCCGTCACAATGAGATAACTCATTGAAAACAGTTACGTAATAGGATGTTAACCTAGGTCGTCACAATGGAAAACAAACGGGGAACAGGACATTGTACTTCTTTAATTCACCCAAATAGATTATCTATCTGCAGTGTTGTTTCTAGTGTGAACCTCACTGTTGTTTTAAGCTTCCACTGGTATTTCACTTGGCCAAAAGTTTTGCCTTGATATGTTGTACTTGGGACAGTTTTGCACGACTTGATCTGTTGTCTCAGGTGCCAGTCTACATATGCACATGGCCGATTTGCCAATCTTAAATTTTGTGTACATGTAGCTGCGAAGTCGATTGCGCCCTGTTCTAAGGGTTTTTAATTTGATTATTCTCTTCTTCTGTTGATAGAAGACTGGTACATCAGGTCATTTAGGGAAACTCCACAGCAGAATTGTATCAGTTCTATAGTTACTTTACATCAGTTGGCTACTTTGCAGAGTAGTTTCCATATTAATGGTAATTTTCCAGATTGAGTGCCTAAAGTACCAGTCATGCATTTGTCAGGAATACCACAGGCTGCGAAATATGACTGCTTTTTTAGCAGTTTCTCTGCTGCTATCTGGATGGCTAGAACTTCTGCATCATAGTTGTTACAGGGCTTTCCTGCTGGTATTTTAGCTGTGTCTATGTTGTTAGTTGGATGCTTAATGTACACTCCTGTTCCTCTGTTTCTGCTTAATAAAAAAAATTAAAAAAATATGTACAATAATGTAAAATGAACAGATGCAATTTCTTAGATAAAATAGGTGGGTCAACTTACGTTGAATATGTGCGAAGGTCAGTCCTAGAGCTGGACAAGGTGCTTGTAGTGTCCAGTATCTGAATGTCATTCCTTCGCAGGAATTCCTCAAAGTATGGATAGTTGTCAGCCGGAATAAAAGGCAACAAATCTGAAAAATAGTCCAGAGTACATAACATCAAACATTTGTCTTCTGAACAGATTTCCCACTCTCATCAATGTTACTGATATTTTGACCTTTTATTACAAACACTGAATGATATTAAAGGGGAAAAGCTGAGATTATCCAAATTTTACTGAGAATTCAAAGGGCTAAAACCAACCAAATTAACAAAGGGCGACAACTACAGATGACTACAAAGTAACAACTACACGGAACCGCCTGGAGTTGGAAGGAACTGAGATAAGTATTCTGAGATAAGTATTCTGAGATAAGTATTCCGGCCTCGTCTACTGACATACTGAAGCAAATGAAATTTGTTGCATTTGTGTGTCAAGTCTGGTATACATCACTACAATGGCAACAACACTGAGCTGAGAAAAGTACTTCTCTTATCTCGTCATCCCCTTGTGTTATGCAATTTTTAGCTATTTTGAAGCCCCATGCAGGCTTTTGCCGGGGGCCCTAAATATGGCCAAACGGCTGAACGGGGTTTATGGGACCTCTTCACGGGTGATCCTCATCCCCATGGTGGCACTGTGTCACCGGGTGTTTATCGCTTGTGTGATGTCCTGGTGGGGTTCAACTTACATACATACATGCAAAAGCACTTCTAATCCTGCACTCTCTTAATCACAGACCCAGGTGAGTCTGACATCATCCGCAGCAACCCATAAGAGCAATAACTGGCAGCTTAATTAAACCTAATAAATGTTTGACAGTTTAACAAACAAAAAAAGACATTTTTAGAAAGTCTAACTGCCTGACTTCTGAGCTGATATAGAGTTTATCTTCCTGATACTTTTGATATTTTCTCCAAAACTCCTGAGCTGAGAAAGAGATTATCTCCTTGACTCCTGAGTTTATCTCCCAGACTCTTGACTCCTCCTGAAGTCTAAGTTGACAGCAAGCTTAACACCCTGACTCGTCTTAGCTGCATCTAATCTGAGACCGAAGCCGTTTTCCTTCACCTAACACAGGATGTCTTTCTCTCACTTTACAGAAGATGTTTTCTCTCACTTGACAAGATGTTTTTTTCCCCTGCATGACAGACCATACTGTCTCTCACCTGACAGCACACTTACACCCATGTGATGTTTTTTCTCATGTGACAAAAGATATTTTCCCTATTTGGCAGAAAGAAATTTCCCTGATCTGAAAAAGTATATTTCCCCACATCCAACAGAAGCCTTTTTCCCTATACCTTACAACAGTTGTTTTCCCCACACCTGAAAGAAACTTCTTTCCCTCACCTGACAGAGGCCGTTATCCCCTCACACGAGCCAAGCTGTTTTCCCTTTACCTGAAAGAAACTTTTTTCCCCTTACCTGATTGGAAGCTGTTATTCTCTCACACGAGCCAAGCTGTTTTCCCCTCACCAGAAAGAAACTTTTTTCTCCTCACCTGACAGAGGCCGTTATCCCCTCACACGAGCCAGGCTGTTTTCCCCTCACCTGAAAGAAGCTGTTTCCTCTCTTCTCCCAGCAGATGCAACACTTCATCACAGAATTCTGGGAAAGGGCTGTCACTCTTCCAATCATTCAAGTGTTCAAGGAACAGACAGAGTTCCTCGGGAGTTAGTTTCGTTGTCAGCTGCAATTTTCAGATCAGTTTACATATTTTAGGAAGCAATTTTGACTGCCAAGGAAAAATAAAGAAACATATTAGGATGTGTGTTTGCAAGGCAACGGCAGCTTTTAAAGGTCTGAACAAAATATCAAACTCTAAATTACATAGCTTTAAAAATAAGTAATATATGTTTAATTCCAATGTTACTTCAGTTTTGACATTTGCAAATGAAAGTTAGAGAACCAGTAAAGACATAAAGAACATGAGAAAAACTGATGAACATTCTTCTTCTTAAAGTCCATACCCTGTGGCACCGGTAGTCATGTCTATCCACAAGTTTCTGTCTCGTGTACTTTCAATTAACTCTGACACAGATGATCTTCCATGGTGTCAAACAGTACAGCATCTGTTTTCTCAGCCTCCCTCTGCCTCTCTTCCCCTCCAACTTTCCTATTTCATGATGTTCTCCAGTTTTCTCCTTCTCACCACTTGTCCAAAGAATGTAAATTGTCTGTTTCTGATGTGGGCAATCAGTTTCCTTTGTGAAACAGTTTCTTCCAAGACATCTTCATTACTCTTTTTATCTGTCCAGGTATTCTCATCATTCATCTATAAACATGATAAACAGTATAATAATGAACATTAAATGGGATGAATTCAAGATAGGTGAATACATCAGAAAAATATCAGGACAACACATTAATTATACAATAAAGATGACAATATATTGGGTAAAGTGCCAAAGAAAAAGACCTTCTGACAGACTGCAACAGAAATAGGAAACTTACCTTCTTCATGTAGTCGTCCAACAACTCCTTGCCTGCTCCTGTGTCACTGAAACTGTTTCTGCCACTACCGCTGTCACTGGGCACTTTAAAGTTGCGTGGGAAATCAGGTAGGCTGAGGACATAGAACATGTATAATCAGTTTTAACTCTTCTGGTTCCACAGAAGGTATGACACTTTGAGGTTTGATGTTTAAACAAGGAATCCACATCATGGCACAAGGGTAGTAACCCTTAATAAATGCTCCGTTCTACTTCTAACTCAAGAGTGAGTCTGAAGAATCTCAGCGCAGTGCACAAACTCTGTAGCACCGGCAAGGATCCTGATATACTGTGAGTAGATTTTCAACTCCAAATTGTTACTTTGGCAGAGCCGTTAGTCTAATCTTTTCAATTTCCAGCTGCCAAGTATTTTTTACGTGCGCAACAGTACACGTGATCTTACTACCCACAGACCATGGAAAATTACTAGAAGTCCACGTGAAAAAACCAGCCTTCACCTAGGTTTGAACACAGGACCTCCAGCACTGGAGGCAGATGACATGCCTCGAGACCATGCAGCTCCCTCCCCCCACCCCCCGGAAGTATCATACCGTGATTTATAATTAATTCAACTGTCTTCAAGTGCTGAAGGACTTGAGAAAAAGATGACGGCCATATACTAGATATATAATGCAGAGAAGTTGACAGAGACTAATCAAGCAGGCACTAAAATGGGAAACAAATTAACTGAGGAAAAGAGACTGTCCAAGAGAAACCCTAAGATGAATGTTGTTGAGAGAGACTAAAGGTGCTGAACTGGATTCCATCCATGATACTGACATGACTGTAGGGATAGAATGGAATGGAGTAAAAGACTGCGAACCCTATGTGCCGTGTAATGGCACATCATAGTAATGATGAAGTGGAAGAGGACAAAGTGGGATGAAAAATGTAGTTTACAGTTGTATCTTGTCTTTCTTCTTCTATCTGAGGTTAGTATTACATCTGTTCTGTCCCTTTTTTACAGGAGGGTGTCAAGCCACTGACTGTCATAGAGAGAGAGAGAGAGAGAGAGAGAGAGAGAGAGAGAGAGAGAGAGAGAGAGAGAGAGAGAGAGAGAGACAGAGACAGAGAGAGACAGAGAGAGAGACAGAGAAAGAAAGAAAGAGAGAGAGAGAGAGAAAGAAAGAAAGAGAGAGAGAGAGAGAGAGAACAATCACATAAATGGCCTGTATTTCCAAAGAAATTTGGCACGCAGGTCTGTCTTATATCGGCCCTTTCAATCATTCAACTTTCACATGGTAATATTTTTTTTCCTATATATATATATATATATATATATATATATATATATATATATATATATATATATATATATATATATATATATATATATATATATATATATATATATATATCATAATATGTTCACATTTACCAAACCTTGTAGTATGAATGTAAAATAAATAAATAAAAACATGGATTGCAAATGCATATCTTCAATTATCTGAGAGAGAGAGAGAGAGAGAGAGAGAGAGAGAGAGAGAGAGAGAGAGAGAGAGACAGAGAGAGAAAGCCATACAGAATAAGAAAGAAAGAGAGAGAAAGATAGAGACAGAGAGTGTACGAGTTTGTTTCAGTTGTTGTTTCATCGTTCCACCACAGAAATGTATAAGTGTGTACTGAATTTGTCTGTGTATGTTTACAACCACCAACATAATGAATAAAGTCTCTTGTCTGCCAGATTATCCCTTCCCAGTGTGGATTCTGCAGCCTCACTGTGGGAGAGAAAAAGGAATTGACTAAAATTTGACTAATTAGGGGTGTTTCTTTCGAAGTCAGAGTGCATCTCCCTGGCAGCCAGGAATCAACAGTCTTAAATACAAATAAGCCAAATAAGTCAAACGAATGCACAGGCAAAACTAAAGTTGTGGAACAAGATGAAATTTCAGAAGTGAATAAACAATTAGAATTTTCTGATGGAGTTTACAGCTGGAGAATGAGGAGGAGGAGGTGGAGGAGGAGAAGAAGAAGAAGTAGTAGTAGTAGTCTAGAACACATTCCAGCTATTTCATCCCCACATGGGATTTCAGGTTACTTGGACTCTGTAAGTAAAAAAGTAAAGTTCCCTTTTCACGCCTTTCGGCGCATCGGGCATATGGGCAGAGCATCCCATATTTTTACAGACCATCGGCACTCTGTGGGTAATGTGGTCAGCATTACGCCGGCTGTCTTTACTTTCCCAGGACAGCCCATCCTGGTACCCATTTTAGGCTGGGTCGACCTGCGACGTCGCATACCACGTCAAAAATCCACGTAGCCTGCAGTGGGTTTCGATCGCGGTATGCTGGCTTACGAGTCGGACTCGCAACGCCTTAGCCACGGACGCCGCTACTTGGACTCTGTAGGGATGCCTTAATATAACGGAGTTACGTGGTTGAACAGGGAGGGTTTCTGTGATTCACTACTGTCCGATTCTCGTCAACTTGGACTCTGTAGGGATGCCTTAATATAACGGAGTTACGTGGTTGAACAGGGAGGGTTTCTGTGATTCACTACTGTCCGATTCTCGTCAATGTGGTGTTAATCCTGCAGACGGTAATCCTGAAGAAAAATGACCTCCACCCAGAACCCATGAACATGTGACATGGACCAGAGACAAGACTCACTAGGGGATGGCTCCTGGTCTGTACAGAAGTGTTGATTCTGAAACAGCAGACAACAAAGCACAAAGCCTCAGTAATATTAACTCTGCTACTGGTAATTCAAGACTTACTTCAGCAATGCAGAAACCACACAATATGAGGAACCAATTGGCTAAGCACCTGCAAGAGTGTTGAAGTTAACTTTTTGGAGAATGTTGAATCTTTCCCATCACTACTTATGAATTCTCAGAATATCTTGGACACAGAAAGGAGAAATACTGACATCTTAAAAGACCTGAACATCAAGGAAGATTGGCTAATCCTGTCTCTGAAGCTAAAATATTTTGGTCTTATCAAGCGCCACGACGGATTGGAAAAAATAATAGCAGAAGGCATAGTACCATGAAGGAGGGAAAGAGGCCGACCGACACGAAGATGGGCACAGGATAAAAGTGACTCCTTGAGTATGAAAATACATGGCGGGGGAGAGCTGGCGAGAGACTGAGTTTCTTTCAAGCAGACTGTGATGGGGGCAACATTCTGCAAAGGACCTGCTACATGATGATGATGATGACTCAGTCACTGTAAAAACATCAGAGCTTTTGAACTGACATGCTACAGAAAAATTCTTCGAATAGCAAAGACCAAGAGGAAGAAACTAACTGTACAGTCAGAAGCTTGTAAACAGACGTGTCTAGCAAAACTACATGGCATGGACTTTAAGAGCAGTCATTATTCTTAATAAACAATAAATAAATAATAGTAAATACCTTACAAGAATTCACTGGTACTATCTGCCACAGAGAGCCATACTAAAAAGTTACAACAGGTATAGAGCGAGTGGAAGACCTCGGAAAAGATGGAGTTATAAAGAACAGCCTTACAGAAATGAACATCAGTCTTAATAGTGCTCTTGACAGAGCTCATGAACAAATGTTTCATCTTCCCCTGACACTTCCCTGAGGTACAAGGTGGAAGAGAAGAAGAATTATTCCTAATTAGAAAAAAATATGTGTGGTATTCTGGGGAGCCATTTTGGAGAAGGAAGAAAAACAGACTCACTGACCCCTTACAAGCATGTCATAAAAGTCAACTAATCAGGAGTGTTTCCTTAAATCAGTGTACTTCTGTCTGAGAGGCAAGGAACCAACAGTCTGCTTACAAATAGGCCAGATCTTCAACAACAACAAAAATTGGATGTGCATGCAAAGCTTTGGTTCTTGAACAAGACTTGAATCCAGGAGTGGATGAACAACCAAAACTTTCTGCCACAGTTTACAGCTGGTGAAGGCAAAAATTAAGAAGAAAAAACAAAACAAAGACGACAAAGAAAAGAACCTGATCACCTGACCGCCAAACAATCTGTCACTTAACAATTCCAGGATAGAATCTGTGAAATGTTAATCCCAAATAATTGGTCCATCGGAACTGTTAGAAAAAATAAAAAATAAAAGACCCATCACTTCCATAAAAGACCAGCTGTAAAAGGCTAACAGGATGTGAAGAAAGGTTCAGATATCGCAGCCTAGCTGTAAACCACAACATAATGTGCAACTGCCCTTTTAAAAGCGAATGCAGAGGAAGATGTTATTTTCTTCTTCTTCTGGCTTTCTAACCCCCAATGGAGCATTGGCTCTCAACTAACTCATGCCAAGCCGTTCTATTATTCGCTACTTCCCCCAGCTCTTCTCGTGTCCTCCCCACCTTTGTAACTTCACTTTCTAGCTCCTTTTTTTCTTTAGTCTTCCTTTATTTCTATGCCTCTATGGGTTGCAGTGCAAAAACACTCTAGTTATAATGTTCTCAGGTTTTCTCAACGTGTGTCCTATCCAACGCCAGCATCTTTTCTTAAGCTACCGGTCCACTGGAACTTGTTTAAGTCTCTCCCAAAGCTCTACATTAGTGATTCCATTATTGCGTTCAACTCCCTCTATTCTGCACAGACATTAGACAATGAATGTTTGTAGTTCACCAGCAACTGCAACTGTGGTTAACCAGTCCCGCTCCATGTAGCAGTACCCTTTTGAGGCAAATGCAGAGGAAAGTGTTACCTAGCTAACATAACACTCATACACTGGACAGTCCACAAAGGTCAGCAGCTACAACAAGGCTAAGCTGTCCTAGGTGAAGGAGACTGTCGGCACTGACCTGTTCCATTTGAAGTGCTTGCAGGACGTTCTGTAGAGCTGACTGTGGCCTCGTTGTAGACCAGGGTAAAACACTGATTGACTAATGCACAGATCTCTTCTGCCACAGGCTGGGGGGAGACAAATGGAAATCAAGGACATAGGTTCATACAATAATACAAGCAGACGTGGGGGGTAAAGCAGAAATGGGGGATACAAGCAGACAAGAGGATACCAGGAGACATGAGGATATCAGCAGACATAAGGATACCAGGAGACATGAGGATACCAGGAGACATGAGGATATCAGCAGACATAAGGATACCAGGAGACATGAGGATACAAGCAGACATGATGAATACATGCAGACATGGTGGATACCAGCAGACATGGTGAATACATGCAGACACGGTGGATACAAGCAGACATGGTGAATACCAGCAGACATGGTGAATACCAGCAGACATGGTGAATACATGCAGACATGGTGAATACCAGCAGACATGGTGAATACATGCAGACATGGTGAATACCAGCAGACATGGTGAATACCAGCAGACAAGGTGGATACAAATAGACAAGGTGGATACAAGCAGACATGGTGAATACCAGCAGACATGGTGAATACCAGCAGACATGGTCAATACAAGCAGACATGGTGAATACCAGCAGACGTGGTGAATACAAGCAGACATGGTGCATACATGCAGACACGGTGAAAACCAGCAGACGTGGTAGGTACAATCAGACATGGTGGATACAAGCAGACATGAATACCAGCAGACATGGTGAATACCAGCAGACAAGGTGGATACAAGCAGACATGGTGAATACATGCAGACATGGTGAATACCAGCAGACACGGTGGATACCAGCAGACGTGGTAGGTACGATCAGACATGGTGGATACAAGCAGACAATGAAGAAGATTAGCACACAAGACAGAGGCTAAGCACGAGACGAAGGCAGGAGACACATGATAAAACGTGTGATACTCACCTTACTCTCACACATCATCAGTGCCAGCTTGCATGATTCTTGTGTTCCTGTTGACGAGAGGTATAACACATTTACATATAATGGACTCCGTACAAATCGTATCGGCATCACCTTCATCCTACTGTGCCATTACAAGCTATACAGGGTCTGCGGTCAATTTTTATGTTTTGTTCATATGGTCACAGGTATAATAAAAAGAGTGGCCATGGCGTAGCAGCTAGATGCTTGCCTGCAGATCTGAAGTTCGGAAGTTCAGGTCCCGATGGAGCTAGATTAAAAAAAAAAAAAAAACTTGGCTCCCAGGTCGACCCAGCCTTAAATCAGCAACAAGTAAAGTCCTGAGAAAGAACGAAGGCCGGTGTGATGTTGACTACATCACCTACAGAGTGTTGACTGGTCTATAAAATATAGGTCTAACCCTATGTGTACACCTAAAAGGCGTGGACGAAGGGTCCTTTACTTTACTTACTTTGCATACAATTGATAAACATGCTTTAAATTATTATAAACTGGCAGTTTAAAAAAAGGGTTAAAATATGTCATTATAAAATATACTCATTTGTCTCAAAAAACCCATTAATATAATCACCATGTGGGTTCTGGGGGTAAAAAAGAATAGACCCACTGTCTTCCTAACAAGCATGTTGTACAAGGTGACTAACTAGGGAGGGGTGTATGTGGTACCGGCACCTTTTTAGGAATCATTTTCTTCACCGCAACTGAAATAGACTATGGTATTGTTTGTCAACTCTGAGCAGTGGTAGCAAAGCTGCTAGATGTTCGTCTTCTGATCTGAAGATCCTGGGTTCAAATTTGCATTGAGTCTGAATTGTTTTAAAAACTGACAATGGATCCCAGGTCGATTTAGCTTTAAGTACTGCCCTGGGGAAGTACAGATGGCCAGCATCATCTAATGAGGTCTATACAAATATGAGTAGCAGCATCAAATACCTGATGTACCACTGGCGTAAAAGAGGTGCTTTACTACCTTCATTGAATGACAACTTCTTCTTAGCCTTCATCAGTTATAAAACTTCAGTGGAGAATTCTGGTTGTTTGTCCACTTCTGTACTTTGATCTTGTTCCAGAACTTGAGTTTTGTGTGCACATCCAATTTACAGACTGCTGGTTCCTTGTCTCTCAGGCAGATGCACTCCGACTTCACTGGTTGCTGGTTCCATGTCTCTCAGGCAGATGCACTCCAACTTTGAAGGTTGCTGGTTCCTTGTCTCTCAGGCAGATGCACTCCAACTTTGAAGGTTGCTGGTTCCATGTCTCTTAGACAGATGCACTCCGACTTCACTGGTTGCTGGTTCTATGTCTCTTAGACAGATGCACTCCAACTTTGAAGGTTGCTGGTTCCATGTCTCTTAGACAGATGCACTCCAACTTTGAAGGTTGCTGGTTCCATGTCTCTTAGACAGATGCACTCCAACTTTGAAGGTTGCTGGTTCCATGTCTCTTAGACAGATGCACTCCGACTTCACTGGTTGCTGGTTCCATGTCTCTCAGGCAGATGCACTCCGACTTTGAAGGTTGCTGGTTCCTTGTCTCTCAGGCAGATGCACTCCAACTTTGAAGGTTGCTGGTTCCATGTCTCTCAGGCAGATGCACTCCAACTTTGAAGGTTGCTGGTTCCTTGTCTCTCAGGCAGATGCACTCCAACTTTAAAGGTTGCCGGTTCCATGTCTCTCAGGCAGATGCATACCAACTTTGAAGGTTGCTGGTTCCATGTCTCTTAGGCAAATTCATTCCAACTTTGAAGGTTGCCGGTTCCTTGTCTCTCAGGCAGATGCACTCCAACTTTGAAGGTTGCTGGTTCCATGTCTTTTAGGCAAATTCATTCCAACTTTGAAGGTTGCTGGTTCCATGTCTCTCAGGCAGATGCACTCCAACTTTGAAGGTTGCTGGTTCCATGTCTCTTAGACAGATGCACTCCAACTTTGAAGGTTGCTGGTTCCTTGTCTCTCAAGCAGATGCACTCCGACTTCAAAGGTTGCTGGTTCCTTGTCTCTTAGGCAGATGCACTCAAACTTCACTGGTTGCAGGTTCCTTGTGTCTCAGGCAGATGCACTCCAACTTCATTGGTTGCTGGTTCCTTGTCTTTTAGACAGATGCACTTTAACTATGAAGGTTGCTGGTCCCTTGTCTTTTAGACAGATGCACTTTAATTATGAAGGTTGCTGGTTCCTTTGTCTTTTAGACAGATGCACTTTAATTATGAAGGTTGCTGGTTCCTTGTCTCTCAGGCAGATACACTCCAACTTCACTGGTTCCTTGTCTCTTAGACAGATGCACTTTAACTATGAAGGTTGCTGGTTCCTTGTCTCTCAGGCAGATGCACTCTGACTTCACTGGTTCCTTGTCTCTTAGACAGATGCACTTTAACTATGAAGGTTGCTGGTTCCTTGTCTCTCAGGCAGATGCACTCTGACTTCACTGGTTCCTTGTCTCTTAGACAGATGCACTTTAACTATGAAGGTTGCTGGTTCCTTGTCTCTCAGGCAGATACACTCCAACTTCACTGGTTCCTTGTCTCTTAGACAGATGCACTTTAACTATGAAGGTTGCTGGTTCCTTGTCTCTCAGGCAGATGCACTCCAACTTCACTGGTTCCTTGTCTCTTAGACAGATGCACTTTAACTATGAAGGTTGCTGGTTCCTTGTCTCTCAGGCAGATGCACTCCAACTATAAAGGAACATGACAAAAGTTAACAGAAAACATAAAATGACGTATAACAGCGAAAAAGACAGGAAACTTTGCTAAACACGAGAACTGTTAACACAGGCCATAAATATAACATATAACACCAACAAAGACAGGACAGTTTGCTAAACATGTTTATTAACATAGGTCACATAACATAACATGTAACAGCAACAAATACCGAACAGTTTTACTGTCGTCTCACCAAATTTGAAGGCCAGCAGATGTTGCTGATCATCCTTGATGTAGCAGACAGCTGCAATCTCATGGATGGGAATCCTCAGCAACAGATTCTGTAGGAGCACACATCATGTGCAGATAAAATGTTTTTCATGTAAGAAGTCAGTAGTCAACCAACAAAACATGACTGACTGATTGACTGATTACAAACATTGTTCACTGTTCATTTCAGGATCTCTCCTTCATTTTCTTCACATTCAGGGCCTGTAAACTTCGGTGGAAAGTTCTAGTTGTTTGTCAACTCTTCGACTGTAGTTTTGAAAATGGGGGATAATCACAGGCCAGAAGCTTGAGATCCAGCATAGAAAGATCATTAAATATCATACAACTGGTAATGATTTGCGGGCCATTTGCTAGGTCTCCGTGGGCTACATTTGGCCTGCAGGCCGAAAGTTGAATAGCCCTGGTCTACAAGCTCCATTTCATCTCAGTGCAATATATTGTACAGGATTACAAATGCTTGTCATACTTTCCATCTCCACAAAAGAGATTTCATCATTTTCAAGATTTTTTTTGGTTAACTGGGCAATCGAGCTTCTACACATCATGTTATCTTCAATCCCATTGTCATTCAAGAGATAAAAAACAATATATACAAATGACAGCTGATCACAAGGAAATTAACCTCGTTCACTTCTCTTATGAGGAAAGCTAAGAATGACACATGATAGTGTTGCTACACAACAAGACCACACTGTACTATTCCTCTGCTTCTGCGCTTGCCCTGTAGTTTTCAGCTAGGTTGCAATATCTGTACCTTTTAGACCAGCATATCTGATTTCTGTGGACTCCCAATCAGTCTAATATAATGACACATTTGTTTGTGAGGAAGAGGACAGTGGGTCTATTTTGTATCTCTCCCAAAATGGGGGCCATACTTCAGAACCTTGACCAGAAACACAGCAGGCACAGTCCTTACCAGGACTCCCAGGAAACATTCTCCCCTCAGCAGCTTAGAAACCTCAACGGTGGGAACCCAATGGATATGGGTGGCAGGCAAGGACAAAAGCACCCTGTTAAAACCAAGAAACAAGAAGCACTCTGCAATGACTTTTCTTGAGCTCGACTCATACAGCCTGCTCAGACACATTGACAGATACTTCAACGCAGCAAGTCTAACACGAACAAACTCCGAGGACACTGCACAGCTGATAACTACTGTTTATCACTCCAACGATGCTCCTCTTGGTCAACGAACGAAAGGTTTGATGTCTAGGGTGACAGCCTACTCACGAACAGTAGGATATACATTCATTACCTGACCAGAGTTATCAATTAAAGCACTTCCAACCATTTGGCACTTCAGATCTAAAAAAAAAAATGCATTCAAATCACTTGAACGTACAGCAGACGTTTAGCCGTTCCAATGTGTAAGGTTACCAATATAGCCAGGTTTTCTTGGGAAACAGGTCAGCGGCTAGGGCATACATTCATTTACTTCATGGATACACTCAATTCATACTCTCCAAGCACCACAAGACCAGACTTTCGCAGGACTGAAAACAGACTGAGCTTCCTCACTCTCTCCGAGTTTAAATAATCTATTCTACTTCCTGTGCGCCAGAAGTTCAACTCATAATTTCATGCTTTTCTCATCTGGCACACTTCAGCCAAACTGCAAATTTGCCTCTAGTTAGTATCACTTACTCGATCTGTTCGCTCATACACTATAATTAGTAATTGATACCATCCATCCAAATTCTCACACATAATTTATGTTTAGTAGCTGTCCTCAGTTTCAAACAATGAGAAAATTTATCAACAATGAGAAAATTACTCATTACAACTGCAAAGACCAACAACCACAAATATAACCAAAGATTACATAGAAATGGGCTGAATGTGGTCTTATGTTTTTTACTTTCTATCTAGAAAGACTGAACGAACAGACCATGCTCAACTCAAAGACAGGTATTCCAGGTGAATGTGCTTACCTGGTTTGTAGGGTACTTAGTCACTTCAATATGAAAAACACTGAGACAGAGAAGGGCATAATGTTCTGGAGTCACACGACTTGAGAGGACACCTTGTTTCTGCAAGTATAATGATTGGTGACATTAAAGTTTTATAGGAACACACAAACAAACTAGAAGGTTGACATACAGAGAGGACACCTTGTTTCTGCAAGTATAATGATTGGCGACATTACAGTTATATAGGAACATACAAACAGACTAGAAGGCTGACATACAGAGAGGACACCTTGTTTCTGCAAGTTTAATGATTGGCGACATTACAGTTATATAGGAACATACAAGCAAACTAGAAGGCTGACATACAGAGAGGACACCTTGTTTCTGCAAGTATAATGATTGGCGACATTAAAGTTATATAGGAACATACAAGCAAACTAGAAGGTTGACATATAGAGAGGACACCTTGTTTCTGCAAGTATAATGATTGGCGACATTCAAGTTATATAGGAACACACAAGCAAACTAGAAGGTTGACATACAGGGCAGCAAAATATGCAGTGTATACTTACACAAGGTGCACATACCCATATGCAGTGCACAAACATATAGATCACAAACACAAGGTGCACAGTACACATTTATAGTTCACAAACAGAGTACAAACAAATAGTTCACACACACACGTATATACATGGTACACAGAACAAATTTAGAGTTCACAAATACATTCATGAAGTGCACCCACACTTACACAGTGTACAAACATATAGTTCACACACATGCACATATGGTGCTCAGTACGCATTCACAGTTCACATACACTATGCACACACAGAGTGTACACACACTTATGCAGTGTAAAAACACCAAGTTTACACCTATCCAAAAACATACCTGCATGCACACACAAATTAGACAGATGCGCAAGTGAAAAAAAAAATGAAAAAAGCAGACAACAGTTGGTGGGAGGCCAGTGACATTTCACATTCTTTATTTACCTTTCCCTTGTCAATGATCCGCAGCACATCAGTTCTGTTTGTCACATCTAGGTCAGGTGACACTCCATCTACTTCACCAATAAACTGTCAAACACAAAAGGTCATGTATCATAACATTGTTTGCTAAACTCGTATTAATAAACTGTGATAGAACAATGCTGAACAGTTAGAACACTGGGCTTTCAAGCGGGAGACCCAGGTTCGATCCCTCTGTAAGGTTGGGGGCAAAATAAAACCCTCACGTGCACAGTCGTGGCGACAGCACTAGCCATGCGGCCGTAAATCCTCAGGGTCAAAGACCCTCCACCCCTCCCCCCCACCTACACTGCAAAAGTGGTATAATAAAAGCAGTAAATGGCAGATAGAACAGTGCCAAGCACAACTTTTTTGTTGACTGCTTGGTTCGTTTGTTTGTGGCTGGGTTCATCTGTTGATTGCTTGGTTCATTTGTTGGTGGCTGGGTTCATCTGTTGATTGCTTGGTTCGTTTGTTGGTGGCTGGGTTCATCTGTTGATTGCTTGGTTCGTTTGTTGGTGGCTGGGTTCATCTGTTGATTACTTGGTTCGTTTGTTGGTGGCTGGGTTCATCTGTTGACTACTTGGTTCATTTGTTGGTGGCTGGGTTCATCTGTTGATTACTTGGTTCGTTTGTTGGTGGCTGGGTTCATCTGTTGATTGCTTGGTTCGTTTGTTGGTGGCTGGGTTCATCTGTTGATTGCTTGGTTCGTTTGTTGGTGGCTGGGTTCATCTGTTGATTACTTGGTTCGTTTGTTAGTGGCTGGGTTCATCTGTTGATTACTTGGTTCATTTGTTGGTGACTGGGTTCATCTGTTGACTGCTTGGTTCGTTTGTTGGTGACTGGGTTCATCTGTTGACTGCTTGGTTCGTTTGTTGGTGGTTGGGTTCATCTGTTGATTGCTTGGTTCATTTGTTTGCTGCTTTTTTCATCTGTTGATTGCTTGGTTCGTTTGTTGGTGGCTGGGTTCATCTGTTGACTGCTTGGTTCGTTTGTTGGTGGCTGGGTTCATCTGTTGATTACTTGGTTCATTTGTTGGTGGCTGGGTTCATCTGTTGATTACTTGGTTCATTTGTTCGCTGCTTGGTTCATCTGTTGACTGCTTGGTTCGTTTGTTGGTGGCTGGGTTCATCTGTTGATTACTTGGTTCATTTGTTGGTGGCTGGGTTCATCTGTTGATTACTTGGTTCATTTGTTCGCTGCTTGGTTCACTTGTTGATTGCTTGGTTCGTTTGTTGGTGGCTGGGTTCATCTGTTGATTACTTGGTTCATTTGTTCGCTGCTTGGTTCACTTGTTGATTGCTTGGTTCGTTTGTTGGTGGCTGGGTTCATCTGTTGATTACTTGGTTCATTTGTTCGCTGCTTGGTTCACTTGTTGACTGCTTGGTTCGTTTGTTGGTGGCTGGGTTCATCTGTTGATTACTTGGTTCATTTGTTCGCTGCTTGGTTCATCTGTTGATTGCTTGGTTCATTTGTTCGCTGTTTGATTCACTTGTTGGTTGCTTCGCTCATTTGTTGACTGTTTAGTCCTTTTGTGTGAGTATACATCACACAACAGTCTATTTCTTTTTTTCTATTATATCATGTGCAATCTTTCTATCATGGATGGAATGCAGTCCAGCACCTTTGACCTCTCTCATCAATGTTTCTTTTAGGGTTTCTCCTGGATGTCTTTGTTTCCTCAATTGATTTGTTTCCTATTTCAATGCCTGCTTAGTGATTCTCTGCTCACTTCTTCTCAGTACGCACCTAAACATACACCACCTTCTTTCTTCCTTGCTTTATAACTGTGTAACTGTTGATACCTGTGGTTGTCCAGACATTTATCTTATTTGTTCAACTTTCTTGAATTCATTACATCTAATATTTTCAGTTTCCTCTGGCATTAGTTTTCAAATGAATTTAACTACTGACTCATGTTTTTATTGCTTCTCAAACTGCCACTGATAAAACTGAAATAACATTCAAACTAACAATAAAAAACTTGCTTTTATTTTTTTATTTTCTTAGTATTCACAGTCTGTAAAGTCTGGTGGAAAGTTCTGGTTGTTTGTCCATTATTGCAATTTGGTCTTGTTCTAGAACTTGGGTTTAGTGCGCACATCCATTGTATAGATCTGGATTACTTTTAAGTAGACTGCTGGTTTTCTGCCTCTCAGGCAGATGCACTTGAACTTCAAGGAAAACACCATTGGTTAGTGATCTTTTACGACTTGATCACTAGGGGCAGTGGGTCCATTCTAGTTTTCTCTAAAGCCTGGTTTAAAACTGAATAATTTAGACTGAAAGAGTTAGTGATGTGTAAACATAGATTTCCACTAGTTTGTGAAATAGTTTTGTATTAGATATATCAAACTCCTTCTGTGGGTTCTGGACCCCAATGTGGGGGAAAACAAGAACAGATCCACTGTTTACCCAAAAGCATAACGTGAGAGTCAACTAAATGGGAGCTTCCTTGGAAGTTAGAGTGCATCTGCCTGATAGGTAGGGAACCAAAAGTCTGCATACAAATGGGTCAGATCTGTAAAACAGATGTGCATGCAACACTCAGGTTCTGGAACAGAACTAGAGTTCAGCAGTGGATGAACCACCAGAACTTTCCACCAGAGTACTAGAGTCCAGAAGTGGACCAACAACCAGAACTTTCAGCCAGAGATTACAAACAGTGAATATTTAAAAAAATATATATCACACATACCTGAACAGGCTTCTCCACATGATAGTCTATGAGGTATCGTGGCTTCATCTGATACAGGTGTACCTTGGAGTCAGGCTTCTCGATGATTGAATGTCTATGTTCCGGACGAGTCACCGATGAAATATTGATGATATGCTGAAATTAAATAAGGTCTCACAATGAATGTGGTGGCTTCTTCTTCTTCGTGTTAACCGGCTGTAAACTCAAACAGAAGGTTCTGGTTGTTAGTATACTTCTGGAACTTGGTCCTGTTCGAGAGCTTGAGTGTTGCATACACATCCATTTTACAGATCTGCCTTATTTTTAAGCAGACTATTGGTTGTACTGCAAATCTAAAGGACACTGGAATTAGTCAACTTTTATGTCTTGCATGTTGAGGAGGCAGTGAGTTTACTTGTTTTCCCCCAACAAGAGCTCCAGAACAAACACGCATGATTGCATGTTGTTTTTTGTTGACTAGGTGGTGTTGACTTATCCAGCTGGACAGTATGCTGGTGTGTCATTGTGTGGTGACTTATCCAGCTGACTGACAGTATGCTGGTGTGTCATTGTGTGGTGACTTATCCACATGAATGAGTGTTTCTAACTACCCATCTGAGTTCATGTTAATTTCTGACTGTGGTGCTTATCCATTTGCCTGATAGTATGCTGCTGTACTATTGTGAAGTGATAATCCACACAACTGACTGTATGTTAATTTATGATTGTGTGGTGACTTATCCACCTGACTGACAGTGTGTTGGTGTATGATTGTGTGGTGACTTATTCATTTGATAGTGTGCTGGTGTGTGATTGTGTGCAGACTTGACTGCATTTTACTTGATGATTATGTCAAAAGTTATCCGCCTGGCTGACAATATACTGGTATATAATTGTTGGTGGCATATTCAGCTGACAGCAGGTGAGTTGTGTTGAAAGTAATTCTAGTCACTCATAACTTATAATCTATTCTGATTTATTCTATTTGCAATTTTAATTAAAATTAAACTATGTATTGTAAGATGCATCATTTTAGGCTAAACATTCAATTGCAGTTACCTTTGACTGTCTAGACTTGTGTGTGTCATTCATCTCGACATCATATCCTGTCTAAAACACAGATAATATGCATATCCAGGCACATAATTGTTAATTTATTTGTATGAACGGTTCTTCTCAAACCACTACAACAATAGAATAGACCATCTTTTTCCGGATATTGACAGAAACGTCTGCAACTAAACTCTTAGAGTTGCCTGCCCTTGGAAGAGTGAGATTCAGAAACTTCTTTCTGACTGACTCCACTAGGACATGACAATAGGTTAGTTGTGTATCCTTGACAGGACTTTGCAGAACCAACCACAACAGTTTTTCTAGACAAATTTACGTCCAGTAGTTTGCCATTGCTTGTGGACGGTCGGCTTTCTTGATACCACTGTCGAAACCAACGCAAGGCGCATGGCCCGCAGCTGGGATCGAACCCGGCATTACGAAGCGTTGGCATCGACTTAGCCACAGAGCCGACATACTAGGACATGACACTGAGCGATAAACACCCAGTGACACAAAAGTCCCACCATTCAAATGAGGATCACCTGTGGAGATGTCCCAGAAATCCCGTTCAACTGTTAGATTATATTAGAGATCCCGGCAACAACCAGGGTGGGGCTTCAAAATAACGAAAAAATACGACCTGCATGGGGACAGGGATTATACTTCTATCTGGTTTTGGTCTTCTTATAGTTCTTGACATATGACGTTGGTGGTGGAGTCTGTCTACAACAATGTCTATTACAACAATAAGCAAAATATGTTATAGCTTTAGAAACTGCTAAATACCAATCTTGGCTCACAGTATGCGGTAATGCTGATGGATGCTAAATCAGTACTTGAAGCACTCCAGTCTAGGAAACTACCAGAATTGCAAACACTGCTGACACAACTTAGCCTTCAGCGAAGAGTCGTAATGCAGTGCATACCGTCTCATTGTGGAGTGCCTGGAAATGAGAAAGCTGATCAACTGGGGAAGGTGCGACAAAAGTGCAGCCGGATGTACCAGTCACATACCACCAAAAGAAGGGAATCATTAAATCGATCAGGAGACCACCAGCCCCAGAACAAGACGACTATTTTATTATGGACAGACCAGAACAAGTCATTATCCTCCGCCTCAGAACAGGGCACAACCGATTACGTAACCACGTGTACACAACATTCAAGATAGGCGTATCAGGCATGTGCATCTGTGGAAAGGTGTCCAAGACAGCAGAGCATGTACTCCAGGAATGCACCGAATTTGACACATTAAGGCAAACCTTTTGGCCAGAAAGAATAACAGTGGAACGTAAACTCTAGGGACCACTGAATGAACTAACAACGACAGTGAAATTTATACAAGAGACAAAATTGTTGATATAGACAACTTATTTCAGGCGAACGAAAGAAGAAGAAGAAGCGTTAGAGCTCACAATCTTCAAGTGTCAAAAAAAAATTGGCTCCCCCCTCCCCCACTGACTGCAATTTGCTGTTATTGTTCATTTTAAAGATCATCTTCATCGCACATCGTGCATGACCATAACTGCTCCGATCTCCTCCTGAGTATGTCTCCAAGTGTGTTTGGGCTAACAACTTCCATTCTGTACTGGTTGATGTGGCGCCCGTTTTGTTTTCCTGTCTCACACTAGTTAGTACACCCAGGGTGTGCAGTCTATTCAGTGAAAAATCATTTCCTATAGAACTGAAAGCCTCACAGTGTTTAGTCTCTCGTGTGGCATTGATGATGACTCTCCTGTCCATAGATGGTCATTCCTGATGGTCGCACTACCACCCATAGCGTCTGCTCTCTCATTGTCTTTCACACCAGCATCACTGGGACAAAAATGAAGACGATTTTACGAATTATTGTTTCCGTATGTGACCCACCTTCACACAAAAGCATACAAAGGCACATCAAATTGACTGGCCGGAACTCCCAGGTTCCAGCTCCCCTCGCTGATAGCAATTTCTAGCTGAAGTAGTCAGCCTTTCACTAATCCTCCTTATTCGCCACTTACAACATGTTTTGTAGGTTACAATGATACCGATTCCTTCCGTTTTTTCTCTACGCGCTGCTATTTCATGATTTGACTACCCTGTGGTTAAAAATAAATCTATCTGAATTGTAAACAACATTGGCAAATCCCAGATACCCTATTCAACAACTAATAAGTTATAATTTGATCATTCATTGTCTTGTTGTGCCATTATATACCACACACCACTCCTCCATTCCGTTCTTCTTCTTCTTTTATTTACTCCTGAAATACCCCAGGACAGAAAGAAATATAACAGGGAACTGGAACGGGCTCTTCTGTTTGCTTCCTATAAAATACTTTTCAATGTCTTTGATATTTCTCTGGTCCATATTCTGCGTGGTCGATCCCTGACTCCGTTACCGCTGTATTTGTATAACATTGCTCTCTGTGGGGCCCTGTCTGATGGCAATCTCATTACATGGCCAAACCATTTGACTGTTTACCTATAACGTTTAGTACCTGTTCTTTTCCGACTTTCCTGCTGATATCAACGTTCTGTCCTGTGCAATCAATTCAATATCTTGCATGGAATTCAGTCTAACACCTTTGGCCTCTCTCATCAGTGTTTGTTTCAGGGTTTCTCTTGAGCGTCCTCGCCTCCTCAATCGCGCTGTTTCCAATTTCAGTGCCTGTTTGACGATTATCTGCTGGTTTCTTTTCAGGATTTAAGCTCCAGTTAGAACACTAGTAATTAGGAATTAATTATAATCTGGCTACACCAGACTGATGTATGTAGCATGCGGTGCTGGTGTGAATCAGGACGGTCTTGTAATTAAAGGGATACCTGTATCCGAGTCCTTTAGAGCCCTGATAACACTCGGGTAATATAGTAACGTAATAATTACACAGATCTCGAACCTATCCCACACTCGAGGGGAATCAGAGCCTCCTGAGGCTCGCCTCTCCCCCATTTTCAGAGTCCATCCCACCTTTCCCTCCCTTTTACCCTCGCCTCCCCATAATTTTGCGAGAAGTCAACATTTTTCAACAAAATTAAAAGTCGTTGTGGTCCCTCTAGATCAGTGTTCTTCAACTGGTGGGCCGTGAACAATTTCAGATGGGCCGTCAATAACGTCTGCCTAATATGATAGTGGGATATGCAACTTATGTCAGATTTACTCACCTCTAAACAACAGCAGATGTCGCATTGGCTGAAAACTGTAATTTTGTAATGTCGATTGAGCAAATAACTGCTATCTACTTTTATTTGTTATTTCATTGTTTGGTTAGCTGTTAGATGGGCCTCGAAACAACGTCCCCTGAATTGGTGGGCCACGGCTGTAAAGAGGTTGAAGAACACTGTGCTAGATTAGTAGTAATTGTACTTATCGATAGAGAGGGGATAAGCGGTGGCGTGTCCAAGGTATGGCAGGTAGGAAAGATACCATGGGCACTACTGTGAAAAAGAAAGAAAAAGTCCCTTATCCCCTCCTTTTTTAGTGTGTAAAGTGGCGCCTAGGGTATTTGCCCTATCTGTCATACCCTAGATACGCCACTGCTCAAATCCTGTCTATCGATAAGTACAATTACATAAACTCAGCGCGGGATTATGTTCATTCACCGACTGGCTGAAACTCAAGGCGACAGGACTATAAACCAGATCGCTATACCAGCGGCTTAGTATTTCCTGCCGTATCTTTTCTAGTTTGTCGTCGCGGATTTAGTTCACAGCTTCACGGGATTTCCCCTGACTGAACCTAGTCGTGGGGCTAGTAACGTCTAAGCCAGAGCGTGAATAGAAAGCGGGTCGCTCTGATTTGTATGTGACTTTGTGCAGAAATCACACGGAGTGATTTTTCCCTGGAGAGTGTGCACGCTTGAATGGTAAGCGTTGTGTACATCTGTCAGGTTATCAAAACGCCTGCTTGTGATTTGTGGCTTCTTGTTCAACTGTTGGGCCAGTGTTGTGTTCTATTTTGTGTTTAGGTTGAAGCAAACGTAATAATTTTGTTAGCTTCAATCATTCATTCTACATATTTTGATATATAATAACGAAATAATAGCATAAGATAAAAGTTGAAATAAAAAGAACAAAAAATTCAGCTAATTTGTTAGAAAACACCCAAAATGTTAAGTTAACAACGCTTTGCTACTTTAGATGTTTTATTTGTAAGGATGGTGGCAGCAACATCAGCGGCAGCAGCAGCCCCAGCAGCAGCAGCCGCAGTAGTAGTGGCAGCAGAAGCAACACTGTTGCCAACAGCTGTAGTAGTAGTATCGGTGGTGGTGGTGGCTGTTGTTGTAGTGGTGGTTGTGGTTGTAGTAGTAGTAATAAAATAAAAAATATTAGGTTTCCTGTCTAACCCGTCTCGATTATATTTTGAAGATATATAATTTTGTTCCTAATTAGTCATTGATACGCATTAGTATAGGAACTTTAATTTTATACAAACGCAGCTTCCGAAAAAGTTGTCACTAATTAACCAGCTGTCCGTGATTTACTTCCGTATATTAGGACAGGATTTATGTAGCCTTTAAGCATTCTCTTTCTCGGTTGAATTGACAAGGAAAGATTGCATAAAATATTCTTAATTTTGTAAAAAGCTGCCTTCGCTTGAGCTATTCAATATTGAACTTTGTAAATACATCTTTAATTGGTTAACTTTTCATAAAATTAAAGCCAAGAACGTGTTTGTTTTCATGAGTTTTTAAAGGGGTAGAAAATTATAGAGAAGAGAAAAAGTTGGTAAGAAAGAACAAATAGTTTATGTTAGCTTTACAAAATCGATCACAATGAACAAACAAAGGACGTTGCGGCGATTAGCCTTCATCAGCACATAAAGAACAACACAGTACACATACACAAATATGCTCTAACTATGAAGTGACTACATAGGACTCTAATGGACAAAAGAAATGATACTCATCTGTGTTTTCATGAGCCATTTTTACAGGTACTGTTAAAGATCTAATTAATATGACAACACCTGCATTTAATTATAAATTAAGAACACAATCCTCCTCTTTTTTTATCCCATTTTGCTCAGCTGAGAGAAAAGGGGAGGGGTGGCATGGGGG